TTCTAATAATACTCAAAGCCTTCTCTGCCTCACCGTTCGTTTTCGTTACATAGTTATGTACGTCTCTTCTTCGTCCGCAAATGAGATTGACCACTGAAGAGATTGCCTTGCCTTCCATTTCACAACTGCCGTCTACAGAATAAAGAGCAGATGAAAGCCGTTTTTTCCAATCGTTATTAATAATGTGATCCATTCCCTGTATATGGGCGTCATGACCGTTGGAATCTGCCATGGCCTGCTTAAGGGGCTGGTGAGCGCATTCGAAAACAAGTTCGGCGAAGTGCTGCCGTGACCCATTGCAGGGATAGAATGCATATAAAGCTCTAGAAGCCGATGGATATTCGGCTTGTCCAGCTCTTTCCCCGCCATAGTACTGCTTCGACAAAGGTCATTGCAGTTTCGTATGTACATCTTGCAATGGCGTTCCAAGTCTGCCATATGCGCCGTGCCATCTTCACGATTGTACCTTTTCACCTGCTCCAATCCATCCACATGCAGCTTAGGATACCAGTATGTCTTGCTGACAAGTTTGCTAAACAAACTGAGGTTCTGTACAATTGAACACAGTGCTTGTTTGGATACATTAGATATTTCTTGAGGGCAGGATAGGTTATCAACAATCTCTTTGAATACAGGAGAAGCAATCAATAATATCGAAAACGTTGCCGATATGCTTGCCGTGTACATACTATTTGTACTGAAATTGTAGATGCGTGTCTCAGTTACCAGGCGGTTTGTTCGCAACAAGGAACAGATTAACCCGTCTACCTGCTTTCTTCTAGTCGCGGTAGGAAGGGACTTAAAGGCAAGGGTTAAAATATTAATTGCGTTACCAGCCAGGAGATGGTCGGAGGCAACAAGCATTGAGCGATACGGGTCAAACCTAGGGTTTGCGACTGGGACGTTGTGTTCGGTCAGCGGTATCGTGGTTTTTTTCAACGCGTTCTTCAAATCCTGAGAAAAAGAAACAAAAGGACTTGCTTTCCTTGCTGCATCGTCATTTCCCTTCAGGCCCAATGCGTTCAGCTCTACATCCGAGATACCAGAGGCTCGTAAGGCCTTCGTTCTTTCTGCATTTCTCGCGAAACATGCGTCTGCGCTGTGAATATCCGTGGTGTATGCATATCGCGATGCGAGTCCTTTAGGCCCTTTAAATCGCATGAACGAGCAGAGGTTGCATGGTGCTGTGCCATTCACTCCCACCACATCCAGGACATGCCCAACCTCGTGGTAGTCGCTCACGAGACCAACCACATCGGTAAACAGCAGCAAATCCTCCCCATCGGCACTTCTGGCAGGTATACCCTCTGTTGATGATTTGACGAGGTCTGCTACTACTTGCTTCAGACCTTCCTTCGTTGACACTCCAGGTTCAGTCAGGGCAAGAATACGTACTCGCTCTCTACTACTTCTACATTCCGGAGGATAGTTTAGGGAGAGACAATAGACACCCCCCCTGAACCCGCTTTAAATCGGAACTGGGAAAATCCATCTGAAAATAGTAGGATATGGTCAACAAAGTATTTCCTTCCGTCTTTAAGCTTACCATATGACGGTGAAATTGGGGGTCGGGGGTGTTGAAATGAAAGAGATGGCTGGTTGCCGGCCACCATGACGTCCACCACGGAAACCTTCGAAGCTGTATGAAATGAGATGCGTAAAGGATGATCAGCTCCATCGTCTCCAACCTCGCAAGCGAAGGGTATGCACACAAGCTCAATTTGCTGCCCTCCCTGTGTTGATCTGTTGTGATGCTGAATTAGTACCATGACATAATCCAGCTCAGAACTGATATGTAGAACTGTGCTAATGTCACCAGCGCGCCACAGGTCCGTTGTTGGCCGCCGAAATCCCTTCCATGTTCCGTAACGTAACTCCGACCTCGACACTTCGGTCAGGGGTGGTCCGTCTCTCCATGACACTACGAGAGAGGTTGTGACAACCCTGAACGTCAATTTGAAACATCTTGGATCTGCTCCGCTACACATATCCAGAGTGCACAATACTTCATGCGGAAATGGCGGTTCCTTCCGCAAGTGCAAGGTGACCACTCCTCCATCTCCCCTGTACGCAGTGAGCAATGGGCAGGAGGGCGCGGTTTCGTCGCCGGTGCTGGGAAGGACGTTACGAGCGATGTCCAGAATGAGATCTCTATTTCGAACCATGGGAACGCTTTCGATAGTGGAGAACAGAGCTCCCGAGCTAGGAGAGATGGAGTCTTTCGCAGCGCCTTTCAGTACATTCCATGTCTCGCGGCACGCCAAGTCCATCAAAGACCAAGATGATGGCAATATGACTTTGAAACGGCTTGAAACTGGCCCAACTCCCTGCAGTGACTGAAGAGTCTGTCTGGAGCCCGATTTCGAAGTATCTAAAATCGCCTCGCATTCCATGCTCATCACAAAACCCCACTCTCTAAGCAAAGGGGACAGAGTCCGATAAACCGTAGAGTAGTCAGGAAACAATTTCCCCCCCGGCTCGTATTTCTTTAGAAGGTGGTTGAAACAGCTCCGAAAGATGTTATAACCAGACTTAGAGTACCGAACGGTCCCGGACACAAGTAAAACAGCCATTATATTTTGCCACACGCTAAGCTTCTTCCATCCACGACGGATCTCCGCAACATCCAACTGCAGTCCTATATCATGATGCATTTCATCTTCCTCGTCCTGTGCACTGAGCCCGACCACCAGTTCATTTGTCGTACCCCTCACATGTTCAAGTACCATATCTACCATGCCACCCATGTCTTGCCCATTCGTTTCATGCATCTCCGCGACTGGAATTTCATCTGCGAACTGCATTTCGTGGACCATAGGGGTTCTGAACCCCTCTATAGTCTCAAAACACACATCTTTATGATCTCTATCCTCCGCCTCTGCCATTTCTTCTTCTTTTGTTTCCGCTGCACCCGCTCCTCGGATTTCATCGCAACCTTTCTCGGCACCCGTACAGTTTTGTGTCGTTCCATCAGCACTGTGTGTTGAGGAAGCGGATGTATCTGCCAGATGAAATGTCTCCTCATGATGTTCTCCCCACCGATCGTCGTACGCAATGCGACCCCTTCTTCCCCGACTCCCGAGCTGGAACATGTTCCGTCGCTTCCGAATTCTTTTCTTCATTAGCTGTTAGAAGCGAGGAAGACATCGGATGAGAGTGCAATTGGAGCCACCTCATATCAGACTCGTATTTCATGAATGTGAATGTAATCCAGGCTGATATCAGACTGTCAACAGTCTGATATCAGCCTGGATTACATGCGTGAATCACACCTGCTAATTGGCTGACTGAAATTCTGTAAACATATTTTGCAGGTCATTGGCTTCCAACTCGAGTTGCTGTACACCTGTGCTGTGCTTTACGTGTTCATCCCATGGACAAAACGGAAATGACGTTTTATTGGTGCAGCATCATCCGTTTCGTCGTAAGAACCCAATTTAGGTCACAACCGGCTCACGTTTATAGCGCTTGAGGATACATTCGAGCTCCAAATGTATTCACGAATCCCTATAAGTACGTTCCACTCATCCTTTGAGCTGACCTTAAGCCCAAAACATCCATGAGCAGCGTGATACCAACGCCGTAGTGCCGCCACCCTCCCAGTGGATGAGATCCGCAATGTGCTATCAACATTGAGCTTCCATCACAGCAGGCGACACGATCCACAGTGAGCTACCATCACCGCAGGCGACACGATCCACAGTGAGCTACCATCACCGCAGGCGACACGATCCACAGTGAGCTACCATCACCGCAGGCGACACGATCCACAGTGAGTTACCATCACCGCAGGCGACACGATCCACAGTGAGTTACCATCACCGCAGGCGACACGATTCACAGTGAGATACTAACGAAACTTCACAACTATCCCGCACGTGATATGATCCTCCTAGTGCCACGAAACAGGGGGACCAACCGCCGGCAAAAGTCAACAACCTGAAAGTGCTGCGAATTTCAGGGGCACAGCTAACAGGCTCTACCCCCCAAAAACCGCCATCTGCGGCAGGACGAAGACGACTATCCGCAGCCATGTCGATGAAAAACATCCTCAGGCATGACGAAGACGATCATCGACAGACACAACTGTTGTGTCTGTTGCAGCTGCATCAATATTGATAATACATGTAGGTACTGGCCTATGAAACGCTTGTTTTCACATCCATCAACAGTGTCGTCAGGCAGCGATTCCGTTATCATTCCTTACATTTAATTTAGTGCTTTACAACCATTGCAAATGTAGTCCCCAAAACATTACATTACCAATTCCTAAACACTACAAATGTCGTCCAGCAACATTATATTGTCGTCTCAGAACAAGTATCAACTACCATCCAAAACCAATATAAGTATTACTTCTGAAAACCACGATTATAGTGTTCACGAACGATACGTTTATTGCTATTCCGACATATTACATGTAACGTGCACAGAACGATGAAAGTAATAATTCAAAATATTACTAATATATATTGTCGTTGGACAACATTACCAGTGTTTATTCGAACGTTATATTTCACGTTTCTGTACGATATAAGTAATAATACAATTAATGAATATTTTATATTGTCGTTGGACAATGTTTAAAGTGTTTCAAGGAACATTATATTTAACGTTTCTGAACGTTGCATTTAGTGCCATCTAATATTATTATATATAGTGTGCTGAAATGATTCATTTATCGTTTCCACAGACAGTGCCTATAATGTTCACCTACGCTACGTATAGTGTTTCAATAACACATTATAAGTAACGTCCATTGTTGATGTTTTAATGTTTACAATGACATTATATCTATTGTTCACGGCTGATGCAAGTGGTACCCGAATTCTGATGTTTTCATCGTACACGGACGTTTTATTATCATTCCTGGAATGCTGATGTATTGTTGTCCGGACAATACTATTCTGGTATCCCAAAAACGTATCGTCCAAAAACATTACATATATCATGACACGATATTACTTTAATGTTTCGGAATACTACAAGTATTGTTGTTCCTAGTACTTTGCCTCCGCAGTGACGGCTGTTGGATTGTGTTCTCCACATGGATTGTGAATCATATGCTTAAGCACGACCTTTTGGAGTTCTGGATCTTGGGAAGACGGGATCTCTGCAGAGATAATGCGGTCGACGTTTTCGGGATTACGCAGATCATTCTTGGAGACCTCATCCTGGAAAAATACCACGTGAGCAGGGGGAAGACCTGGTTTTTGAAATCCGATGACTCGTACGTGGGCAACGACGGTTCCGAACACTTCCTCGTTGATGACCAAAGACATGAGATCCTTCATTTTGAGACGAAACACACGTGCGCACAGATCCGGTCTGTCCTGAGGAGTTTGATTGGGCAGCAGGGCTCTTGTGATCTCCGGCCAGCTAGGATTGCATGTCATGGTGAGGAAGATGTCCGGGTGGCCAATTTGGTTGGATATAGCCATGATGTCGTGCATCTGCTGCCTCATGTAACGGTCACATCCGATGTGCGTAGAAGGGAGTATGAACAGTCGTCCTGCACGTACAGCGTCGGCTTCATCTTCAGCACGACCGGAGTCTCCTAGGCTGTCGCGCAGTGAGGTGTAGTCCCCCGATCGAAGCTGTATCTGGTTGTGGCGGAGATACGAAAGCCTTTCTGCCTCCACTTTGCAGAACTGGTCCACTAAATACTGCTGAAAGAGTCGTTCTGCGTGTAAGATCGTGCTGAACTCGCCTGCTCTTTCGAAAAAATGCCATCCGAAGTACATCATCGGAGTAATGTTGGTTCGTCTGCCGTCGTGATCACTGGAGAATCGAAGCTCTGGATACCATCCGTCCCTACCGTTCGGGAACAAAAGCACGTAACTCAATGGATCGTATACACGATGACTGACTGAAATCGGATCCAACACTTCGTTCCCGTTACTGTTCAGAGTCCCTCGCCTGCGAACGACGATATATCTTCGCCCAATCTCTCCGTCTTCATTTCCAGGGGTCAATGCAGCCACTTCAGAAGCTTCGGGACCATTGTACCGGCGCACGTGCTCATGACTTGGCCTGCGGTCGGCATGGATGACCATCTGGTACGGGGTTGGAGTGTTGTTGTGAGGAGATTGAGCCCATTCTCGCATACACAGAAATGTTTGCACGTAGGGGTTGCATTCGTGCAGCATGCGTGTCAGTGGCGCCGTAAGTGCCTCTTGCAGTCGTGCAGAGTTTCCAAGCCTTGTGCGCGTCTGAGTGGCGTAGTCAGTGTCGTGAATGTAAACGGAAGCGTAGGAAGGCGCCCGCCCCTCGAATGGCATCATGGGACCCATTTCATGGTACATCTCGCCCTGCATCGTCATTGTGGGGTTAATATTAGAAGGGACGGGCCCTCTGTTCACCCATTTGGCGACCACGAATGCCATAGACAGCGCTGCATTGTATGCTGGAATGTTCTTACGGAAGCGGCGGGACTTTGGAGTATCATCGATGAGAAGAGAGCGCAGAAGAGCTGGAGGGTCGGGAAGAAGGGGCAATCACAGCTTTCCCTTCCCGCAGCATGTGGAAAACATCGGTCTTGCGGCAGAACTGCTCAGGATGCGTTCTTGGACGAAATGCAGAGCTTTGCAGTGTGAACACTCAGTACAGATCATGCCGAGATCACAGTACGAAGGCGAGGGGTAGGGAAGTGGAGGGAAGAGCTGTCGAGAAGCACTTCAATCCTGGCGGCCGGACCCTTGCCGCGCATTCCGAGTCGGTGTGTCTTGATCGTTGGGTGGAGAGACGGTCAAGTACATTCCTCTGCTCTTGCGCCTCGTGACGCAATGCGATCCCCTTCGCGCCGTGCAACTCGGAGGGGGGTTGTTTCTTCCGCTCTAGCGCCCCGTGTCGCAATGCGATCCGCTTCGCGCCGTGAGTCTTGGAGGGGGGTTGTTTCTTCCGCTCTAGGTCCCCGTGTCACAATGCGATCCGCTTCGCGCCGTGAGTCTCGGAAGGGGGTTGTTTCTTCCGCTCTAGCGCCCCGTGTCGCAATGCGATCCGCTTCGCGCCGTGAATCTCGGAGTGGGGTTGTTTCTCCCGCTCTGCGCGCCTTTGTTCTCTCCCTGCCTCGACGGAGACGCTTTCGCGCTGCTCAGGAGTCTCTGCCGCTCTTCGTGCTGCAGTACGTTCCCGGATGATTCGGCGACGCGCTGCAGTCTCAGATTCGGTTTGTTGAGCCCCCGGATTCTCGCACGGTCTCGACCTGCCTCACGACGTGCTCGAGCATCAGCTTCAGTCTCTTGCGCACTTCTTGCCCTTGCACGCGCGTTTCTTTGTTGCCTTCTTGCTTCTGCCACGTCTTCATCCGCTGGTCCCGCGATTTCCGTTCTGCTCGACGCGCTAGTGAAATCCTTGTAAGTGCAGCTAGGGTTGACGCAAGTGCGAGAGGTCCGTTGTAGATCGCTATGAGTCGTAGCAAGCAGTCCTCAAAGGTCTAAACGCAACGTCAGCCAGCTAGATCGTCCGCGAGAGCAATTAGCAAAAGAGTAACAATAGGGCCTTTATTTTCATGTACTATCCCGTGATGGATCGGAGCTTACGCTTGTGCTTCTTGCCCGCCAGATGTCGTCTGAAGTCGTGTGCAGTGGCAACCGTGCACGCACACACCTCGCAGCGGAATGTGCGGCCCGCCTGATTCACTTGAGCCACGTGCCCCTCGGTATGCGCATGCCCGTCCCACAGTACCGCGCGCGAGCAATGAAAGTTGCAGGTGTCAAACGTGTATACGGGAACACTGCGCATCACAGCAGTGACTGCTGGAAACTTGCGCGCACGGGGCCGCTCGATCGCACGTGGAACACGTAGCCCACGAAACGTGGGAATGACAGGCGGAGGTAAACGTGTAAAACGTGGGACCGTTGCGCGCGGTACACGTGGTGCGGGTGCTGGCGCAGGGGCCGGCGGAAGACGTGGTACACGTGGCAGAGGGGCGCGCGGTACACGTGCGGCGGGCGCGGGGGCAACCTGGGGGACGTGGACACGCGGGGCGGGCGCACAGGGCGGGGCTGGATGAGCTACGTTGACATGTGTCGACGATGTGGGGGACTCGGAAAAGTTCAGACGGATCGGGGTAGCGGCGCGACGCGCGGCGCGCAATTCTTGGCGTTCTTCTTGAGTAGACACTTCGCAGAAAAAGACACACACCGTATATAGTCAGTAAGCATTCGCGTGCGCTCAAATGCCGCGGGCAGCAAGCTGGCCGGAGCAATGAGGACAGTTATTAACTTACTCACTTTGCGTAGACGGTGTGCGCGGGGATCGGTAGCGAACGCGAAGCGGGTCGGGACTGTATTTTTTATTTTTCTGTACTGTAGTGTAGCATTCAAAATTTAATTTGTACTGTACTGTAGTGCTACGATCGTGCCTAATGCCACCACGTGTCCCGGTGGCGGATTTGGCCTGCGGCCAGGCCCCGCCCGTGCCCACCACTTGGCCCACGTGTCCGCGTGGCGGCCTGGCCTGCGGCCAGGCCCCGCCCGTGGCCGCCACTTGTCACGGCAGCGCCCCGTGCGCCAATGGCAACGCGGGAACGCACACACACAGACAGACAGACAGACACGGAAATTAGTATATGCGCGGATACTAATTCCTGTTTCATCCTCATTTTCAGGCTCCTGTGAAATAGTCTGGCCTCTACTAAATGCTGTTAACGGGTTTAGTGGGTTTACCCAAGCAGAATTCAGCAATACGAATGACAGGTTTACGCCGTAAAAAGATACAGAATTCTGCAAGGAAGCGGTGCGCAATAGACACCAGGAAGATTCTTAACTGTTGGTGAGGCCGTCATCCGACTCACTTCGCGCACCCCTTCACCCCAGAGTCATTTGCGTACACCCACACGTGTCTGTGATTCCACACAAACACTCAAATAAGGCATAGCCTTATTTATAGACGTACGGTAGGACATAGAGTTGGTAAATATACCGGCGCCGGCGGCCCCCCGCGTCAGGGGGACCCCGGCATCCGGATCTCTTGGTTCACAGGTTATGGGCCACAACGACCACTGAACTTCACCACCAGACCGACCACCACCAGCCACCACGGCAAAACCGAGAGACCGCGATCAAAGGGCGACCCGACGTAACCGCGCCCGAGAGGAAGAGCAACTCACGCACGAACTCTACGCATCAGCACGGATAGCAGAGGCAGAAAATCACGACACACAACCGCAAAAACACAACACTATGAACTCATCAACACAACAACCCTCGCTACCCGCACTGACAAAATCAAACTATACATTCTGTCACGACGCTCTACACATTTACGGGCGTGCCATAGAGGCAGAACCGCTCCTAGAAGCAGCACAGACAGCCACCCAAGACCCTGCGATCAGCAAACAGAATCAGGATAAAGCCGATGCGCTTAGGACGATCATCATGCAAAGCATACACAACGATGTCATATCGCAGCTACCCCCCACCATCCTAAGGGAAGAACCACGCACCAGATGCGAAATGATCAATGCGCACGTCCAACCAACATCGAGAATCATGAAGTACTGGACGCCGAGGCCCGGAGCCTCAAATTCCTCCCCGGACAGGAATTCAGTGAGTATCTAGCCAAACACCAGAGCATCCGGCACAAAATGATACTCGCAAACTACCCAAAATCAATCACGAGAGAACCACAATCAACTACATGATACAGGGACTTACCCAGCACCCAGACCTCAGCACTCTTGCCCTCCTACTGACCGGCCACCCTCCCACCAGCATAAGGGCATTACCACAACCACATATAGCAGGTTCTGATCATGCAACAAAGAATGGATCCCCCAACACAAACGCCACGAACAACCAAAGCAGAGCAACAACGCACTGCCACCACCCGCAACACATAAATCCCACGCAAAATCAACCGATCAGCCCGCCCTGGCAACAAAACGGACCCCAAGCCTCCAGGATGGAGCGGTGCATGGTGCACCTACCATGGCAGTATAACGCACAACATCACGGAATGCTACGCACGCAAATGGCAAAGGAAAGCCCCTTACCACGCCGACACAACCCAAAACAACACCCCACCGAGATCCCCAAGTCCCCAACAAACAGAAGCCCACGACCAGGCAATCGATGAACTGCACATGAGGATAGCCCAACTCGAAGAAGCACTCACCGAGCACTCCGACGACGATACCACCGGTAAGCTTCCATATATTCTCGATTCCGGTGCCAATCCCACGCACGTATCCAAACCCCATGGTACGATGCGCAAAACCACCGGTACACTAACAAAAGCTGCAAACGGCAAACATCACCCCATAAAACACACGGGACCCATCAAAATCACACAGAGCAATAAGACCATCACTCTCCCGGCGGTACAATCCCCGAACATCCAGCAAAATCTCCTAAGTGTACACGACCTCACGCGCTACGGGCATATCACATTCTCACCCCACCGCGCAATCGTGCACGCACCCCAGCGCATAAGGAAACCGGTACTCACGGCCACATACCGCAAAGAACAGTACGTGATGGACAAACCTGAGCGAGCTCAAGCACAAGCAGCACGCACTGTAGGCAAATCACATAAAACACGTAAAGCACCGAAACACACCAGGACCCATGCACAGCACAGACGTCACGAGAAAAGCATCACTGCACCCGTCACACCCCACCTAGCCCCCCACACGCGCACCACCCCGCAACTCCGCAACACGGCGCAATCCCCGAATCACCAACCAAAGAGAAGCACCGTCAAGGACATACTGCAGGACTGGCATCTGCGACTTGGCCACATTCATCCAAAGACCATCAGTATAATGGCCAAACACAAACTGTTGACACCCCTCCCCGTGTCACTGCACACAACGCCAGACAAGCTAACCTAGACAGGATATCCTGTCCATGTTATATATGTATCGATGGCAAAACAACGCAAACCACGCACCCCCGCACCACCCACACACAGGACGTCGGCACACAACTATCGTCGGATGTCTGCGACCCCATCAAGCCCACATCCAGACAAAATAACTACTACTTCATGACACTCGTAGACACAGCCACGAGATACGCCTGGGTACTCTTTCTCAACAACAGGTCACAAGTACCGCACAGCATCACCAACGCCATCCATTACGTATCCAACCAGCTAGGATACTATCCCAAACTACTCACCACGGACAATGCGAAGGAATACACAGCCACATACGTACAGCAGTACCTCACCAACAGAGGGATCACCTTCCGACCGACCACAGCCTATACACCGCAAGAAAACTCCTTGGCAGAACGCATCAACAGGGCAATCATGAACAGCGCACCCGCTGCGTTGGCGCACAGCCACATGCAGCAAGCCTACTGGCAAGAAGCAGTAACCGACGCAGTATACAAATATAACATAACATACCACCACACCGTCAAGAACCTACCGCACACTCTATGGCATGGAACCCCGCCGCGAGTGAAGCACATATTCATATTTGGCCAACTACGATATCTACCCATACTGAAACCGCACAAAACCAAGCTTCAGCTCCGAGCACACCCAGCACGATACCTCCACGGTATCGACGACACACACATCCCGGTCTATAAAATGCACACCAGCCGACAACAAAAAGTGCACAGCAACGACTTCAAACCGTACTTCCGCAACACAGACCCATGCACCACCACACATGCCGCATTCACGGCGAAACGCCGCAAGACCACTACACCAACGGCAGTCACAACCACAACCCCAGCGCCCAGATCACTTGCACAAGCACGCAAATATCCTGACGCAAAGGAATGGAAAACGGCGCACAACCACGAATTACAGCAACTGAACGATATGAATGCGATCGCATGGCACAAAACAGCGACCAACATACCGAAACGTGACATCATACCGATGACCATGACGTACAGGTACAAGATCGGGCCTGACACGAAGACGATCACGAGAAAAGCTCGATGCTCAGTGAGCGGAGACCTCATGACACGCCACACGCACTATGACCCGGACAAGACAGCGACGTTCATGGCAGACAAAACGACAGTCAGAGCAATATTCGGCATGGCGGCAGCGAACGACATGCACCTCGAACATCTAGACATAAAAGGAGCATACTTGCATGAACAATACGAACACAAAAAGCCGGTGTACGTATGGCAACCCCCAAAATTTGACGGAACGTTCACACACAAAACCACAAACGGACAACTCAAAGGAAACATATACGGAACCCCACCAGCGGCGTATACCTACAGCAAACGACCCCACGAACACCTCCGAAACAACTGCTACCGTCAACTCAAGTCAGATCCCTCACTGTTCACCAAAAAGGCACACAACAACCTGATCATTATAGCAGTCAGCATGGATGACTTCCTAGCACCCGCCACGACCCCAAATCTCAATGACGAGCTGTATAACACATTGCGGCAGAAATATCAAATCAAGAGGCTGGGAAAACCAAAATCATACCCCAACTGGCACATCACATACACAAAGCACGGGATCCATGTGTCGCAAGCACAGCACATACAGCACGTCACCGCATACTTGCGCGTGAACGGTAGCAACCCCGTTGACACACCATACCTCCACGGCATCAGTGTAGACCCACCGAAAGACAAAGACGAACCGTAGCCAGCCATACAAGACACGTACAGCACAGCGCTAGGAGAGATACCGTACATAGCGGACAGTACAAGACCAGATATTGCATTCGCAACAGCGGCACTGGCGCGTGCACTGCAAATTCCCACCACGAGACACTGGAGACTGCTGAAAAGGCTGGCGCAATATTTACACAGCACACGCAGCCACGGCATACTTTTCCTCAAATCACGGAAACAACAGCTCACCATCAGGAGCTACACAGACGCCGACTTTGCCAACGACACAACCACGCGAAAATCGTTCTCCGGCATGGCCGTCACCCTCCACAACGCGACCATACACTGGCAGGCCAAACAACAGCCCATCGTAGCTGAAAGTACATGTGGAGCCGAGTACAAGGCGGCCGCCGAGGCAGCAACCCACACCATCTGGATCCGCAACATGATGTCGGAAATAGGCATCCCTACGCCAACGGCGGCCATGAACATTGACAACACCGCCGCCGCTCGCATGGTAAACCAACAAGCGCCCAAAAAGAGAAGGAAGTGCATATACATCAAATACTACCACCTACAAGACACCACAAAAAATGGTCTATCTCAATTCACCGAGTACCAACACACGACATGCCAGCGGACCTGATGACCAAACCGCTCAAGAGAGACACATTCACGAGACACCGCACGCGACTCAACGTCACCCCCCCACCCTCCAATGCAGTCACTTTCCACCCCGAAACTAAGCAATACGCGCGCCAGGGGGACTGATTCCACACAAAACGAGGGAAAGACGGGCACATTGCTCTCCCGCCCCACTACGAAAAACACAGCGATTCCACACAAACACTCAAATAAGGCATAGCCTTATTTATAGACGTACGATAGGACATAGAGTTGGTAAATATACCGGCGCCGGCGGCCCCCCGCGGTCAGTGGGACCCCGGCATCCGGATCTCTTGGTTCACAGTGTCCAGCCTCAAATACGTGTCCAGCACGGACGCGACCTACACGCGTACATCCGCAACGTCTACACGTACACGCGTACATCCGCAACTGTCGGTGACTCCAAATCAGCAAAACCCAGCCTGTTAAGACACACCCTCAGGGTGAGTCTTAACAGGCTGGGTTTTGGAGAGGACACGCAGGGACAACCACACCACATACTCCAGTGGAGTAACTCCACCGTCATAAACGTAACCAAAATTGAGCCGGTGAGAATGGTACCGGAGAGACCCGGCACAAGTGTGCTACTCTGTCGCAGATTTTGCTGTGAGGATTCAGTGTTTTTTTTCCTTACATTTCAGAATCGTACATTTCAGAATCGTACATTTCAGAATTGGCCTTTTCTGCCGTTCAGCCAAGAACAACTTCTGACTAGTGATCATGCGCGCTTACCGTGCGAGCTCTGCGCATGTGCTCCTTCAGCAATCTTTTCGCAGGGTGACAATTAGTTTTTCGTGACAGCTTTGCAACGTTGCACCAGTTACGGTTACGCCGAAACAGGCGCAAAAATTCTTTCATGTGAAGAAACAAGCCACGAAAAGAATTAAGTTTTTGGACATCCGAATGTCCAAAAAGTTATTTCGTAAAGTCTACGTAAAGCGGGGCTGCGTGCAGCTCCCCTTTACGTTCTGTCCCGATGGGCATGTCAACCACTGAACGAGGGCTTGATGGTACCGCGCGCTGCTGAATCTCGGCCGGCGTGTTGTCCAGGAGGGGGAGCTTAGAGCACGCAATATTTCTGCAAGCAAGGCATCAATACTGACTTCAGAAATTGAGAAAGCTCACATCTGCAAATCTTTCAGGCGAACCCAACTTAGAGGAGAGTCGCCCCACCCTCTATGGACTATCTCGCACACTTGAATTGTTTGAATAAAGCCCCAAAGCAAACCTTACGGCACTGAGGAAAGGTTTAAAAAACTACCTGCTCAAACTTCGGGAATGCGCTGCGGGAGAAG